AGAGAGAGAGAGAGAGAGAGTGAGAGAGAGAAAGAGAGAGAGAGAGAGAGAGAGAGATCACAGTCATTACACCCAAAATATCCAGGATTTTATTATATACCAATCTACCGCACTTCATTAAACCTGCATTTTGAGATCAAGAAAAAAAAGAAACTGAAAATTTTGTTACCTAGAAGACAGCATTTCCCATCTCACTGCTCCTGTTCGATGAGATTTCAAATCTTCTCAATGTAAGATTCCCCCCCCCCATACTTCAACCGACAGTAGTTCTGCACCCACACAATTTACTGCATTGTAACTGCCACAGGAAAAGCCTTTTCCTGGGATTTTTAAAAAATATACTTCCTTGGTGTTATTTATGCATATCAATTTCATTTATTTAACCATTAAATAATTGACAGGTTCTTGGTAGTACATGTTATCCCAATTTCCCTAGTTTACTTTCCAGAGCACAGAATAAATACAGAAGTCAGTAGAACCATAACCAACAGACACACATTTATTCAATTTCCAAAATAAGAGATAACAGAATACCCTTTCCCCTGAAAGTTCTTCCCCAAATCCATATGTATGCCTGTCTAGCTGCTATACAGCATGAGAGAAGTACATTCTGCATATGCCTTCTTCTTGATTACTGTTTTCCATATTACAAGGCAGAACCCTGCATTTTTTAAGTTATCAGACAAAAAGTGACCCTCTTTCTTGCAAAAAGCAAGAAAGAGGGTCATTGGCTGAACCCAGCTACACTTTTTGAAGAAGTTGCATGGAGAAGCTTTAAAATATTGTAGTAATAGGTATGTGTTTTGTACAAGAGAAATCCTAGTATACTGGATCAGGGAGAAAGGTCCATTGTCATGCTCATCTTAAAATATACAGAAACACAAATAGACAAAGCATCCAACTTTCAGTCCAACTATTATAAGGCTTATATTTATCCAGTAGATCCTTTCAAAAGCAGGCAAAAATTCCAGACTCAAAGTTGCAGAGCATAGTAAGAAAAAAAGGAAAATGAGAAAGCATAGTTAGCAATGGATAAGAGTCTAGAGCAAATTAGCACGGCATGGCACTCTAACAGAAATAAAGTGTTCTTCTTTTTCAGACCAAACTAGTAATAGATAACAGGAGACATATGGAGCCAATAACGTATGAGTAGCCAAGTGCTACCCGTAGAAACATATGATTGCAAGTGGATGCATATTAAGTTCACCAGTGCATGAGAAGCCAGCTGTACATAACAATTATTATGGTACAACATAACTTCCATCACCATATCCTAGTACACTGTAGTTCTTTAGCACTGCTAAAACTAAATCCAGGAGGCAAGGGATGTATATGACAAGCTTATCGAAGGTTAGTAATCACTTTGCATAGATACCAGATATTCAGAAGCTACTAAACAGACTTCAGGTAATCCAAAGCCATCTTGGGTTTGTCAGCATCCAGCAGCCTAGTACAATTTTAATCTAGTCATTACCAAAAGTCTGCTTCTGTGAATGCGTTTCACAGTTATATGCTAAATAAAAGAGTGAAAACATTTAGGTGCTGAGCAGTAGACTTACTGTTTCCCTTCCTGCAGCTAAACCAGTAGGTCTGTTTCATGGAAGAGAGGAATTAAAGACTGCACAGTCGATTGAGTTCCAGGAGTAGGACTATTGGGAGTTGCTTAATATTTTATATCACAGATATTTTCCAGGTCCTTATTTATTTGAGGTTTGAGCCGCTGAGTAATTTTTCAGGCCAGTGAGCACATTCAGAATATTAAGATCATAATAATGGGATTGCATAGACAAACATGAAAGAAAGCTGTAAGTTTGTTCCATTCCTTCAGACTATCTACCCCACCCTCTGGCCCTGATCCTCTTTACCAGCCCTGATTATCTTTTTCTTCTTTTTCTTGGCAGTTGGAACTGTAATCACCCATTATCTTTATTTTCTAAAAATGCCTGAGATCATCCTTGATCTTATATTTTGTTTTGCATTATGACTGCTTTTCTTTAAAGATTTTTTTTTTTTAAACCAGAGAAGGAAAGCCAAGAGAGATATCCATGAGAAAACTATTGCTCTCACGGGTACTGTTTGTTTACACCTGGTCTAGTCTAAAATAGTTGAAGGAGAAAGGCCTATAGATTAGGAAACATAATGTAAGTACAAATCCTGGGAATACAACCCTGGAAATTTAGAGTATGTTTCCCCTTCTAGACATTATGAAGTCTGTCTGGATAACTTCAGGAAATACATATGGTTCATGAAACTTGGACATAAGACAATACATTTTTGTGAAAATGATCAGGAATTAGGAAACTGCCATAAAGAGAAAGTTTCTCAGGTCTGAAGATTTCTCTACTACCAAATATTAAAAACTGCTCAAGACAGTATTGTGAAATAAGAGCTTATGTTGCAATGTTCCAAACCAGATACAGATTAGCTAATTTAATTATAGCCTTACATCAGGTAGAAGGAAGGGAGGGAGGGAGGACAAACTATGTGTGCGTACACATGGTGGGTGAGTGAGTGAGTGAATTTTCAAGAATTCATTCAAACCCTTGGCATTCATCCACCAACCTTTCAATGATAATGCTTAAAGCAAATATTCATAACAAAAGAGCTTCCCACACACAAGCCTCAGCTTCCTCAGGCAATATCTAGACAGAAATCAGGGAATGGCATATTCCAGCTTTGTTAGCATTCTGCCAAGCATATCATGAGGGAAAACCTCTATGGCATGTTTCATTATAATATGGTTTATTCTATATTCCTTTAAACCTCTTCCTGAAGATTGTTTGCTTTCTAAATATCATTCCCTGCCTTTAGCACTAATCCTCCTAGCACTCACTGAGCACACATATAGCATGTCATACAAAAAATTACAGTTTGAACAATTAGGTGTTGATTCTCATTTTGGTACGGAAACCAAAGGATGCTTGAGTGCATGAATTTTGATTTTTCTGCTTTTAAATATGTATGAATAGTAAAAAGGATGAACATTTAATTCCTTTGTATTTTAGCAAGAAATTGACATCCACTGCATTCTTCACAACGTCAGGACTCATGTACTTTGAATTCAGAAACTTGTATTTGAAGTATAAAGCTAAGCCTTCACTGTTGCTGATCTTGATTGATTATACGTGTGTGTGTGTGTGTTCTTTATGAGGGGCATGGTAACTGCTTACATTCCTGGTTATCAAAAAGGAAAAATCAAACAAATTCTTTTATATTGCCTTTTTTTTCCTTAGAATGAGATATTGACAGTTAATTTATGTACATCTGATTACAAGGAGGAACTATCAACATTTTTTTTTTTTAATTGGACATTGAAATGTAAGAATTGCCTTGCTGCACCTAGCCCTGAGATAGGCGGAAGACAGATTGAGATTTATTGGTATATTAATTGCTCTAACTTGAACACTAAACTTTTAATTTTAGTCTGGATGTTCCATGCTTGTATGAGTATCACTTGTTAGACTTTCACAAAGATTTTGTACAGCTCTGTTGTCCAGTTACAGAGCATTAGAATCCCTGATCTTATAGACTAATACAAGTAATTCTTCAAGAGGGATGTTTTCCAGAAGAGCCATGCCAGATGAAATGTTCCTAAATGTCTCCACATAGAACACTCTCATCATACTCAGAGAAACAGCTTATGCAGGAAACAGTGCCTAGTGGGAGCCACTATGGCCATGTTAAGTCTCAGAAAGACACTGAGAAACCTTTTATAGCTGGAAAAAGATGTTAACAAAAATGCTATCTTTTCAAATATAATATGTGCCTCTTTCCCTCATAGGGAACTGTTTCAATAAAAATAGGTCCGTTATCACATCATACAATTGAAAATCCAAATATTTATATAAAAACTAGTTATCTTAAATCTATGTTACAGCTACAGTAATGCAATATGGATAAAATATTGACTAATGTATTTTTATTAAAACAATAAAACAAGTCTACCTCTATTTGCTTGGATGCAAGTTTCTGATGCTGCTTTTTGTCTTTTCCTTCTTAAACCATGCCTGCCCCAAAGTGGCAGCTCTAATGTACATAGATGGTCTAGAATTTGGGGTTCAACTCTGGGGTACTTGGTGAGGCCTTTGTGTGAGCATATCATTTTCTGAGCCTTCCCATGCTGCTGGTCAAACAGAAAAGGGCTTCATCTGAACTTCTCTTACAAAACACCAATATATATTTAGCATTTTTATTTGGAAAATATTACTTATCAATGTCTGTATTTAGTACCAATTGAAGGGCATTTTTTGGGGGGGGGGTACTTCATCAAGGGTATCTGGTGACTTCTCAGGCTCCCTAAATAAAACCTGCCAAATAACCAATAGCTGCAATTTTATAAGACTGAAATGTAATTTAAGCACCATTAATCTTCAATCCTTTCTCTTTTTTAAACCACCTATATATGTTTCTGAAATCAACTGATAATTTTAATGTGCATGAATGTCCTTAAATTGAATTGCTCTGAATTGCATGATTAAGAGATCTGGGCAAGTTCAACTAAAAAATATAAAACGTTGACAGTTATCCAGCACTTTATGAGAAGATAATTTCAAAGCACAAAATTCCAGCATTACCTTAATTGACAACACAATATTACAGATGTTTACTTAAATAAATTCCAAACTGGCTATTTATAACAGCAGTTATTATATGTTCGCATAGAAGAGAATATCACAGAGATGAACTGTGGAGTTCTTGGTGCTCTTTTGTTTCCTTGCAGGCATTTCATTATCCAGCTAGGTAACACCATCAGTTTCATTATCCAACTAGATAACATCATCACTCACATTGATAATGTTACCTAGGTGGGTAATGAAATGCCTGATGGCAAACAACAAAGTTCAGAGACCACCAAGAACTCCATACTATATGTGCTCCTTGTTTTTGTTTGATTAAACATAGTATATCATATACACACCAATAAACATGTTAAATTTGTTTTGCTTGCTGAGGCTTTTCAAGTTTTCCTCTAATTCTATTTGCTATCTGTCTTAAAATTTTAATAACGCATTATTATATGTTTGCTTTTTGTTCCAAATATTAGAGCTACACTATCCAGGTTGAGAAAATCCAGATGACTGCTACATGACAATGGTTGTGGGGATTACTGCAGCCCAGAGGTGGTAATCCTAGCAAATATGACACTCTTTCAACTGAAAAATTAAAATGATTTATTATTAATATATTTATTAATATTTCTGTAAATTCTACACCTATTATTTTCCTGTCAAAGATGAGTCCTGTTAGTCTAAATCATTTCAACAGAACAGATAAAAGAACATGCCTAACTCCTCCACTGAAATCAATGTTGATTTGAATTTTTACCTCACTGTTTAGTTTATAGACAGATTGAATATACATATTAACATATAACATACATATGCATGTTCAACAGAAATAAATGAATTTAATTTGATCTCAATGGGTAAATTAATTATGTATAGCATTTGTTTTGCTGTGGCAGGCTTGCTTTCTTTTCATTTTTTTAATGCAAGTAAAAAAATTCATAAAAGCTTATAGGGTTTGTAACTTGATTCTACTGAGAAATATTCTGAAAAGTGCCTTCTTGAAAATAAATGTATTTCACTTTAAAATACTAGTCATTAATTGAGATCTTAATAAGTCCTGTACAATCTAGTTTTAACAATTAAAGGAATACAAGAATTACTGCTCAAAATAAACAGAAATTCCTTTCTCCCCTTCAGCTTAAGAATTATGTACACATGGACTATACTTCTTTACTCATTTAGACAAATATTCTTTGATAAAAGAGACTGAGTCAAAGAATTTTTAAAACACATTTATTACTCACATACTGTTGAAGAGCTCTCTGTAAGTTTCATCACCTTTTCCTTCTGACATCAAACTATCCAATTTGTCAATCAGTTTTGCTTCCACCTGCAAGTAATATGTATACACATGAAGATGTTTAGAGGCTTTAAACCAAATTCAAGATCAAATCTACAGGGAAAAAGTATTTTCCAGGAGGATGTTGCTTTAAAAATAGTTATATTAAGAATATAAAATCTAAGGGAGATTGCTCCATTATTTTGTTTCTTTGTAGAACTGAAATAATCTCATAGTAATAATCACATATGTGGTGCATATGCAATAATATAAATGATACAAGATGGCTGTAAAATGCTGGCATTTCCAATTCTTGAAAAGCTATTCATGCAAACAAAACAACAGACTATCTAAGGCCCCTGCTTGAAATCCATCCTACATCTACAAAGAAAAAGACACACTGTACACGCTCAGCAGAAAAAGTCACCTTTTCCCTCGCTCCCTTTATTCTTTGAATTAGTACATTGTATTATTATAACCTGTATTTCTTTTCATGCCGTTCGACAGTCTGATACTAAAATCTAACCCTATCCTCCGCAAAGTTTGGTGAAAGATGCATTTAATTTGCATCTAGCAAATAAGAGCGGTTAAGGAATGTGAGTTTAGTAGCTAATGATAAACGCTTAAATATACTTGTTAAAAATGTAGCAAATTGTTCCTGCATGACTAATATTGCACCAGAAAATTGTTTTTCATGTGATAAAAAACACAATTGGTAAATGAGAAACTTGGGAGAAGTTTGCTGTAGTATTATTGGAAAATATATGATAGCTGCTATCTTTAATAATAAATTATGCAGAGAGAAATCAGAATGTATGAATACTACTAATATGGAAAGTAGTCCATATAAAACAACGGAGAATCTACTTATACCGTATACGCTTAGACTTCATAAAATAATTGTGAATCTACAGAATCTCCTTATATTGTATAAACTGCTGTACTCTGAACCCTTTCTTTTTCCCCTAGATATTCTTGCAAATTCCACTCCTTTTATTCTGCTATTTCACCTCGCTAATTCAGTGCTTTTGCTTTGCTTCATTTGAAACAGCAGGAAAGGGAACATGCAGAATGTCTTGACGCTACACCAAGAAGTAGAATACAAATTGCAATAGCAGATGGCACATTTAGTACTTCCTTGCTTGGCATCTCAAAGAGAGCTTAAGTAGGAAAAAATGAATTGGATTATGGTACAACTTGGCAAACTATAAGGGTCAGCTTTGGAAACATGAATATTGCAGCATATCATGATAGATTCTTACCTAAAGCACTCTATTTCTAACAATATGTTTCTCAAGGAGTATTTCTTATATTCCAAGTGATCTTGAACTAGGGCATTTCTGTACAATTATTGTTCCAATCAAAAAATAGTATTGGTTGAATAAGAGCCAAATATTTATCTCAGGTGAACTCTTTAGTTGCAGAGATACTTCCTTGGTATTTACTACTATTTGAGAGTCACTATATGTGTAAGCATCTCTTCAGGAAGGAAGGGAAGAAGGTAGCTGAACCCAGTAATGCTGGAAGAAAAGAGGTTGAGCTAGACAAGATCATTATCAAGGCTTTATGCAGGTAGCATCAACATTCAGGGCTAAAAAGCAGGTAGCAGAAAGGCTACAGTGGAAAATCCAACCATTTTGCACAAATCTATCCTGAAAAGACCTTGCCCTCTTTCAGAAGAAGCAAAAATGGCTGTACTTGTGGAAAAGAGGGGTATTTTGCAACCAGATGCCCTGCATGTAACATGTTACATGCATGTAATGTAACAAAGCAGTAACAGACTTCATTTATTTGGGCTCCAAGATCACCGGAGATGGAGACTGCAGCCATGAAATTAAAAGACGCTTGCTTCCTTGGGAGGAAAGTTATGGCAAACCTAGATAGTATATCGAAAAGCATAGACGTCACCTTGCCGACAAAGATCCGCATAGTCAAAGCTATGGTTTTTCCAGTAGTAATGTATGGCTGTGAGAGCTGGACCATAAAGAAGGCTGAG